CCCCACAGGCATTAGTCCTATAGTATGACCTGCTAAATGCTTATAGGTCTGATGACACGCTTTACTGGTCAGTGGGTCTGAGGTGATCAGTGGAGAGAACTTAACAAGGAGATCAATTGATAAAATGCTTCTGTGGATGCAGAAAGGCTTTACCTACTGATTGGTTTGGCTGGGTTTATTGATTGTTATTTTTTCTATACTGATGTCTCTGCAACTTTGTACGCCAACATCTTGATGTTATCCAACATTTCTGTCATTGACTTACTCGTGACAGTTTCAGTTCCATGAAAAAAGCTTTAGTCAAAGATGAGTGACCATAATCTTTCTATAAGTACCACTGTGTTGTACAATATGTGATCTCGTTCAGTAGGAAAACTGTAGGGTGAACGCTAACATTTCTGGCCACACTTCAAGAATCTTCTGCCCATTAATATGTCAGAGGATTCCTAGCTGAAGGTCCACTTTTTGGTAATTTTCTGCAGCTCTGTTTTTATCTCTTACCTATTTTATCTGAATTTTTATCTGTTTTTTCCAAAATGAAAAAAGAACTCTAAAAATCTAATTGTCAACAGTTTTCAATCTCTCAGATTATGAATCCAGCGAAATGAGCTAAAAGAAAATCAAATCAAGTAACCTTCATGTTTTAATGAAATATAGAGTAGAGTGATTTTCCTGTCACTAACCAAAGAGGAAAAAGCATCTGCATCTTTACAATTAACCTTGATGTTAATCTTTGGATAAAGGTGGGCTGGACAGGTGTAGGTGTTTCTAACACAAACATGGCTGATCCACCACTGAGGTCACCAAGGTCTGGACCTTGGTATTTTTTCCGAGGTGTAGCTATATAATAATAATAAGTCATGAAACTGGAATGGCACTCAGTGGAACTCATACCTCCACCATGACCAAATGATCCTAAACATGTCTGTGGGATCCAGATTATTATCTGGATCCAGATTATTACCTGGATCTGCACCAAATTGTAGAAAGTCATGGACCTCAACAACATTAATATGACGGATTTTCAAGATTTCTATTTTATTTCTCTAGAAATGATGAACAAGAACACATCTGCACGAACAAACAAACAAACATGGGTGAAAACATAATCTCCTTGGTGGAGCTGCCTAAAATAACTCTACTTTGGTGCTGCAAAGATATTGTATGACGCCAAGGTAACAGACACTCTCAGCTGCGTCATTGCCATTGCTTGCCTGGTCGTGGTTGGAGTGGATGATCTCGTTGTTACTACAAAATCTTTACTGAACACAGTGGTTCTTATGTCAACGAACCGGACAGACAGATTGAAGCGTGATACAGGTAATTAGAAGATTTTACCTGCGGACACTTTGTAATTCAGTGTCTTTTATCTCCAAACATCATGTGACCAACGGCTCCTGAGCGGTCGCACTAAGTTAAAACGTTGGCCGTTTGTCATGATGCCGGCTAGTTAGCTAGTTTGCTAGCTAACTAGCTAACGAATTACTGTTAGCTAGCTAGTTAGCTATTTAGCTAGCTAACAGTGAACAGTAAGAGGAGACCAAGAAGAGGCCAGTATTAGAATATAGATATCAATTGACCCTGTGTTAACTTGATAGAGGAGGAGGATGAAAGAGGAAGAGAAATATAAAGCATTATATAAGCATTATATAAGCATTATATGCTTGTTTTTGTCTGACAAGATATTTCTTTATCAATCAGTTTTTGTGTTCAAGCATTTCACTTGTTTCAAGCTTTTTAAAAATCTTGGCATGGGATATTTTCCTGTTCTGTTGGCAAACATTTAGCTAATTTTAAATAATGTTTCTCCCATTTTATTGCTTTTTTTCTTGTTTCTGAAAGCTGAGTTTTTGCAGGGCCCAGGATAGGCTTAGCATCATGTCCCTGTGTTTTCCAACACAAACAAAAACTGTGTGGAACTATGTGCTCAAACAACAACACAAACTTAGCACAATTATGGTGTCATAATATTATTTTATTGTAATATATATGTTCTTGTAAAAAAACATGTAGGTTATATTTATACTGTTTGAGGTAAGCTTCTATAATTTCCACTGACATGGTTTTAAAGCTATCATTATCCAATTTTTGCTTTCCAGCTGTATTAAAATGCCCATATTTAGATCAGGGTAATTTTCGGGAGCATGACCTTGAACCCCCCTAGCAAGCTCAGTTTTTGGACCTTGATGTATCTAAAACCCTGCTCTGTTTTTACTGTTAGAAAAGTTAGAAAAATTGAAGAAAAAAATCAAACAGGATGAGGAAAATGGAGATTACAGTCATGCTATTGGCACCGGTGCTATGAGGTAAATGATAAACAGGAAATGACAAACCATATATGATGATAGCAGGTAAAATGTTTACCATTCTTCGCAATCCTAGTTTACCCTATTAGCATGCTGAAAACCGCTGATTGGCTGTTAAAAAAAGTGCATGGGAAGTGATGGGAATGTCACTAGTTTTACAGGTAATTGTACTTGTTGCACTTTATGAAGTATCTGAAGCAAATTTAGTGCCAATCCATTAAGTTAAAATATTGCACAAAATAAGCAAAGACATTGACCTCCTGGTCGCTAGAGGAAAAGTCAGGGGATCATCACAGTCATTAGGATAAGTGGTGGACTGACCAGCCAACCAACAACACCATCCACAGAGCAATGCTACTAGCATGGATGAAAATGATAGCATTGGTTCATAATAACCACCATCTTTTCCCCTTGCTATCAGTTTTGGAGCTTTGGAAGACACCGAGAAGTAATCTATTTTTGTTTAAATATGTGGACCTGTAGTATGAATACTATATAATAATAATGATAATTTAAACAGACCTAATCCTACAATTTTTTGTCAAATCACCTGTGGCTTCCTGTGTAGGTACTTGTGCATATTTCAGGAGGCATTCTTGCTCAGGTAAATTCTCTCTGAGAGTGATCTGAAGCAGTTAAGGAAGCTTTCATGAGTCAGTCTCAATGTAACATTATCCACATGGAAAATCTGCCATCTTGCCTACCTGAAATCATGCCCGCATATTTTTATAGCTCAAGTGTTAATATGAGAGGACCCTCGGCAGCCAGAGAAAGGTCTGGAAGCCTTTCTGAGGGCAGATTCACGACTCGGAGCAGGTCCAATCCAAAATGAAACGCTAACCAGGCCAGTTGGCGATTACATGATATTAATAGACGGCAGAAATGCAAGCTTGTTAAGCACTTTATTTGGAGCAATAGTTAAAAGTAATGTCAAAGTTTCAGCAGTGGCCTCTCTCTTTTGAACCTGTTCCCGAAATCGCAGGATGCTGGGGGGTCACTGCACCTTCGGTTTTGATATTCAGGAAGATGCATTTTTTTTTGTTTGTTTGGTTGTTTTTTTGTTGTTGTTTTTTTTGCTCTGTGACTGTGTTGAATGTCTTTTTGTGTGAAATTATCAATAAGGAACTTTTAATACAATTTAGAGAATGTGATAATCAGAGAGGTAAAGGTCGTCAGCTGTTGACTTGGCATTTATGGTTGGATGATCACAAAACTTCTCAGAGGTTCTTTCGGTTCGTCTTCCAAATTCAAGTAAACATGAGTCCCCCGTTAAATTAAATGTATGCATTTAATGTATAGAATCTGGCATTAATGGATTAAGATCACCTTGTTATTCTCTTCTAAAGATGTCTTTTGGATTTTGCTCTTTTCTAAGAGCCAGAAATCCCTTAGAAAGAACCTTAATCTATCCAGACATGTCTTAAGATAAAGTCAGGATAAGTTGCTGAATTTAACACTTCCAAGCACAAGGGACAAGCTGCATAAATATACCTACAAATAAGTGGTAACAGTAGACGTTGTTTTGAAAGAGCTATTTATTCCATGCACATTAAGACCAGATTTTTTTTTAAAAAGGCTGTAAGGAAGGTTCAGGAGTTTTTCCCCTGTGGCCCGTTGTTCGGTGATTATGTCATTTAAACTCTCTCATGGTTATCGGCTCAGAAACTTGGCTCTTTGTTAGGCAGCGGGTTCAGCAGTGTCAGGCAGCTGTGGAGAAGAGGCTCTGCCACCCGAGCCTAAACTCCACAGCTGAACTCTGTAAGCGGAGGTGGCGGCAAGGAGACGCTGGGATCTGAGTTCCAGCCAGTTTTAAAGGACTTGTCCTTCGTGAGAAATCTGCCCCTAATTAGTAATGAGACGTTCGTGTGTCTGATGTGAGCATGCTGCAATTCAACACATTAGGAGTCACACGGAGGTTTACTTTTGCTCCAAACATTCTTCAAAGGGACGACAAAAAAAGCTTGGACATGAAATGAGATGCTAATTAGTGTCAAGAATGATGCAAAGCTTTAGTTGGCGTCCGATTTGTGGCTTTTAATTACATCTGTTGGAAACAAAGATGAAAGTTTTTGCAAATCTGAGACTGTTTTTGCTGTCTTTCCTTACATCTAGACCAGGTTTGACAAGTTTAACCAAATCCAGATTTACATTTCTCTGGTTTTATTCAGTACAGAAAAAAACTGTCAAATTAGGTTTTGAAAGTGCTTTAAGGCTTTAAATACAATTCCTTGTAGCTGTTTGAGCATTTTAAGAGACATGTCAACAGAGAATCAACCATTGTGTCCTTCGAGCTGCCTTTAACTTGTGAATTAAAAGCCAACTTTGCAGTGTAGACATGTATCCATCACTTAAACTCAGGCATCTTGACCCCTTCAGCACCAAAAAAGAGAGAAATGACTCTAGTGTCCTGGTCCAGTCTTCATCTGGTGATGGTTTTATAGTTAATGTGAAGCAACATCACACTTTTCCTCCCTTTTATAGCGTCCCAGTGGCACCGATCAGAGTCTGAAAACGATCTCAGGCTCCTCCTCGATGATGCCTGATTTACAGGGGGAAGCTGGCAGGAGTCGATGATATTTCAGGAGCTTGCCGGCCGATTGGTCTGAGGATCCTGCATTTCCATAAACAGGAGCTCCATATCCATATCTGAACCCTTGTATATATACACCCCGGGGATGATTTCTTCCCAGTGCCCCTGGCCACCGCTGCTGCTGCCCTCCTCCTGGACTTTCCGTCTCGTCGTAGGTGAGACCAGTTTCCCTTCCTTCCTCCTCCCCCTCCTCCTCCTCCTCTCTGCATGTCTGGACAGAGCTGGTTAAGTGATAGGAAGCGGCTGTGTGGAGTCAGTTAGAGTCTTTTTGAGGAGACCCGTTTGTAAAGTGCTAAGGTGATGAAGTCCTGACCTCTGGGGTTTGTTAATAAGTGAAGGGGGATGTGATCCAGGGTGAAGGAGAGGGCTGATTACTGCTGGACCAGATCTTGTTATTTGCTTTTGGCTTGTGTTGAAGATTTCTTGTTAATTGTTAATGATAATTGATAAGTGTTTGGAAATTTGGGGTTTTTCCTTTTTTTAGGATAAAGCTTTTTGAAAGATTGCATCATGTTGAGATTATTTTGTCAAATTTAGAAATGTGACTTCTCCACTTACGGATTATTTTCGCTCAAGTCTTTGGAAGCTTCAAAAATGTGGGATTTGAGAGCGGATGGTGAGATTTCATTGCTTTCTGAAAGAACACTGTAAAAATCAGCCAAGGAGGTTGAGATGTTTCCACTCTGGTTGTTAGACTGAACTCTGACCAGTGAATTTTTGATTTTAAAGGTTTTGGCCAGTTGAAGGTTTTGAAGTGTGACTTCTGCACTCGTTCCTGCAGGATTTTTACAGTGTATTCTCAATTCATTGATTTGGAAAGTTTAAACATTTGATCTCTTCACTTGGTCTGGATGAAATTGATTTTGTTGATTCTAATTCAGTCCCTTCAGTTATTTCCTGTCGTATTTGAAGCTTACATTTCCAGAATCATTAGACATGATGGAATAATGACACCTTGAATTATTTTTAGTAAAAATAACTCTTGAAATCGGATTCTGGGACTGAGAGACTTGTTTAGACGGGTTTGTTTTTGCAGTGTGTGAGGGTTTGTGTATTAGCGGCTGCAGCGTTGGCAGCTAACACGCTGTCGCAGCACATTCTGCCGCAGGGATTCTTCGCCACGAAAGGAATTGAAGTGTTAACTCCCGGGGGATCTTTGGTGTTGAACACCTGTAAAGGAGCTTATCGCAGGCGTCAGTGGCGACACTCGACCCAAACTCCAAACTTAGCTCTGTCACCGCTCAGCCGCTCATCGACTGTTTGAATCACAGATCACCTTTCATACAGAGGAGGGTCGGACTCTGATATTTAAGCACAGAGCAGATTATAACTTCCTTTATTCTCCCTCAGTGTCTCAATGAGTTTTTCCTCTCCTCTTTTCTTTCCTCCTCCAACAGGCTGTGAAGAAAAGAAACCGCCAACATGTCGCACGAGTAAGTTCTGCCTCTCTATAATCCTGATTTTTAGAAACTTTACTGGAGTGAAAATAGTTTTTAATGTGTTTTTAGATGTTGGACAGAAAAGAAATCAGCTGCACAGAGTTAAGATGTTTAATTATGAGGTTTCAAAGTATCAGCAGTGAAAGGTATCAAACATAAAAAGACTCGAGGTGAAGACAGGAGATCAGGTTTAGAGAAGAGAGAAAGAAATAATGAAAGAAAGAAAGAAATAATGAAAGAAAGGGACCTTTCTTCTCTCATATCTTCATTCAGAAAAAAGGAAAGAGGGTAAGAAAGAGAGAAAGAGCACAGAGGTTGGAATTCAGGAAGGATGGAAGGAAAGAAAATAACAGGGAGAGAAAAATAGGAAAAAGAAGGAGAGAATGAGAGAAAGAAAACCAGAAAGAAAGAAAGATACAGGGAAAGAAAGAGCAAAGAAAAAGAGGAGAAAGAAAGAACAGGAAGTTGTTTTAGACTCAGAACAAACGACTCACTCGTTGTTTCTGCTCTTCACAGGAAGAAGATGACAATGAGCCGCAAGCATCATCTAAAGGTACGACAGTCTGAGTCTGAGGGATTAGCTGCTGTTCAGAGTTTCACATCAGGTCGCAGGTTGTAGAAAAGTATTGATCATCACAGACTGAACAGTTTGGACTAAAGAGCTGAGCAGAACCCAGAACATCTGGAGCTTTATTATAAAGTTATTAGAGTCCACGCAGATGAAAAACCAGTCAGTCACTTCTTTAACCAGATAAATCAACATATTAACAATCAATCATGATTATGAGTTAATTGCCAGTTGATCAGTTGATCAGTAATTTTAGTGAACGGCATAGTTAGAGAAAATCAGCAGCTGCGTTTGTGTTTTTCTTTTGTTGAAGGCTGTGCTGCATGTGTTCGGATATGTTTGTGTTGTGGGTGACATCAAGTTTTGTAGCAAGTTCATACAAAAGTTTTGATTGTTAGAAATTTCAGCCTGTCGAACAAAAAGTATTCCTGTCGTTAAAGTGATTGATCGTCACAGTTGTTGGTTGTTGTCTCTCTGTGGGAAACTGTTTTTATAAAGATGAGGCCTGAGGGGTTTTAATAGTGAAGCTGATGTGTTGGTGTCAGTCGTTTCCCTGTTGGTCCGAACAGACAGACACAAACACACCTGAGCTGAGACAGTTTAAAGCTCGGAGGCGCCACCTGCTGGTGAAATCTGTCAAACACACACAAAGTGTTTTCATCATGTAACAGGTTGATAAGAAGCTGTTGCTGCTGAAAATCAGCTTTAGATTGACAGTTTATGTGTTGAAAAATATTCAAACAGTTATTTCTCACAAAAAGGTGAACAAAAAAACATTAACCATTTGTATTAATCAGGTTTTTGTGTAACCGTTTTTCTTCTTCAATGTTTTTAGTTGTTGATCTTCGTATTTATTTATTTTTACACGTTTGAGGGGTGACACTCCTTTTTCATGCCTTCGCTGTGAAATCCTCACATGAAAACAACATGGCCGGTTCTGTCCCTCTCCGAGTGACTCTTGACTTTGCCTCTCGCCTGCAGAGTGTGATGCTGCAGATTGCGGCGGGCTGGATTGAACAGGAGAAGAAGGACATTATAGAAGCCAAGAAGGCCTACATGGCCGAAACCTGTCCCTCACCCAGCCTGAGCGGAGACCAAGCCGGCCTCATGGTGAGAGGCGCTTCAGGCCTGTTGTTGTTGCGTTGTTGGCAGCTGTTTGAAGTGTGATATCCATTTCTGAACGGGTGCGATCAGCACGCAGACGTCACGCCTGTCGTTCCTTTTTCCAGGACACCTGCAGGAAGCTGCACGCCCTCATCGACAAAGTGGATGAGGAGAGGTACGACCTGGTGACCAAAATCGGCAAAGGTGATAAAGAGGTACACGTCGTCCTGCCGCTGTTCAGAAACTGAGCTGTTCTCACAAAGACGACTGTGACAGAGAGAACATAATGAGTCATTACTCAGACTGGATGTGAGTGTGTGACCACTGGAGAGGTCGTGTAGTTTGGGTTTATTTGCCACAAACAGCTGTGAAGTGAGTGTTTGTGTTCAGCTCAGACTTTTCCTCTAATTTCTCTGTAAGTTCATCAAGTTTTGTTGAAGTTTAACTTTGGAAACACTTTATTTTTCCACTGACTTTTTTTCCTCACAATTTTCTAATTATTAATTTCCAGGTATTTAGCTGTAAATGACTTGAGTATTTCCAAGAAAGGCCTTTGCAGTTTGGTACTAATTAGAAGTATAATTAATAAAGTGTTAATTTCTACAGTTATTAAGCACCTGCACTTCTTATATTTGAGATTTTAAGAAATAAATAGACGTTATTCAGTAGATGCATGAAAAATAGTTCATTTGCATTTGTTTTTACAGAAGTAAAGTCACGTGAATATCCACAGGTCACGCAGTGCAACACTGTGGATCACTGATGTGTCTTTATCAACAATGGAGCTCAGGAAAATAAGATACATGAGGCTGTAGATGATACATAGATACATAATTCTGTAGCCGCCACTTTTTCTGGCGGAAACTATTTGTTACTGCTATTTTGATAATTAAAATTATTTCTTATGCTACAGTTACGGTGGTAAGTGAGTGACTTATTTATATATATATATATATATATATTTGTCTTTGATGTTTGTAGTTGTATTGTTTTTATTATAATGGTTTCCTGACGTGTAGGATTATCAGACTTTAACCCCGAGACAAACCACTGCTCTGCTATTGGCTCCATTTCACCTTTGAAACCTGTTTCTCTCTCAGATCGACGACTTGAAGATCAAAGTGGTTGACCTGGCCGGAGTGAAGAAACCCGCTCTGAAGAAAGTGCGTATGTCCGCCGACGCCATGCTGAAGGCTCTGCTGGGCTCCAAACATACAGTCAACATGGACCTCAGGGCCAACCTGAAGCAGGTGAAGAAGGAGGTGAAAGAGGAGGTGAGTGTTGGCAGGACGACAGTCGGGACAGGTAATAAGAGTGTGGTTGGTTACACCTGTGGACACCTGTTGACTGGGAACTGTTTGTGTCCTGCAGCCTGGAGAGGCCGTCGGCGACTGGCGTAAGAACATTGAGGACAAGGCCGACAGGAAGAAGATGTTCGAGACTTCCTAAAGAAGTTAACTCTGCTCTTTCAGTTACTCGGGGCTGTTTCGCACTTTTTATGGAATTTATGAAGTTTTTCATTCAGTTGAAATACCTTTTTGTTTCATTAAATCTGTAAGTTTCAGCTTGGTCTGTTATTTTAAGTCAAGATGGGGAAACGGCTCTTTAATCTCAGCGTTCCCTCAAGTATCATACTTTTATTCTGTAGTGTGACTTCCTGTTTCGCTCTGCGCTGATGTTCACTCTTGACAACCTCCTGCTCTTAGTGTTTTTGTAATAAATATGTTTTGTTTCTACGTCTGCTCTCATGAGGTATTCTGTCTTTGACTCGGTGATGCACAACACTGCAGAGGAAGCACACGACGCACCAGATTTGAACGATCTTTAAAAACAAAAGGTCACAACAACATCGATGATGACGTTAGGCTTTCGTTTTTTTTCTGTGTTTGTTTTTGTCAAACGTTAAAGCAAAACCTGCCTTTAAACAGGACTCGTGATTTTATTACAACGTTTTAACAATGAAAAACATTTCACCCTGACGCTGAGATTTACAGAGCAGAAAATTCAGTTTCAGAGAAGCATCATGATGCATTAAACTCTGATTAATGCGTCTGAGCTTCGTAATGACGTCAGTTCTTTTCGAAGGCGGGTTCCAGCTTTAACGAGGTTGTGTTGTGCTCTTTGTAGTGCTGTGCATGTCAGTGAGGGACAAGACACAATATCCATGTTTCCTGCTCTGTCCACCCCAGAAATTATGTTTATATATAGAACAGATTTGCAGTAATTGCACTTAATGCTGCCTGGATTGTGTTTTCTATTAACGTCATGAGAAAATGTTCATGAACGAATCTGGAAAGTCACAGAAATGTTGATACTTAACATTTTATTTGTTGTCTGCTACGAAACGTCTGATCGTGTGACTCCAGCTTTATTCAACCTGAACCTTTTGTTGTGTAAACACGAGCACAGGCAGGATGTCAGGTCGTGCTTAATGTGAACATAATCCAGCCAGCGATTACGTTGCCATGACAACGCACTTGGAAAAACAATCGAGTCATATATATATATATGAACATAATTTGTAGGAGACATAGTTTATATTCGTCTATATTTATGTTCAGCGAGCTGTGAAAAGTGAATGTTCATCTGTTCTTCTGTTCATTTATTTTTTTGTTAAGTTCAAATGTTAAAATTTCTCATTTAGTAAAAGAAAACAAACAAAAACAAAAACAGATCTACACGAAAATGCTCTAAACTCAAGGTAACATGTGCTCACTTTTCCCAAAGCTTTCAACCGTATCTCACTGCCTTCTTCGGCCTTTAGTTTACATGATGACAGCTGAGCAAGGTTTGCTGAAGATGACCATGAGATACAGTTGAAAGGTCTGAAAATAAATAGTAGGTGAACCTTGAGTTTAGAGTGTTTTATCACAGGTGTGTTTCCAAAGTCAAGAATGAATTGCAGCGCTCAAGTCAATATATACATATTTTACATGAAATTATTTAATATTTATATGTTTTACATCTTTAGATTTTTTTTAAATGAGGCCGTTTTAACAGAACTGTGGATTTAATGCAGAAATGTAAATCATAATGGTAATTAGAAATTCAATTCACTCAAATCCTCCGGTGCCAAAAAAAAGACGCTTTTTCTGAACTTGTCAGACACGGTTTGTCCGTTGTCATGGCGACCAGAGTCTGTCAGAGTCCAAGATAATGTTGTAGTCCGGGTCAGCAGAGTCACACTGACCACACGGTGTCAGCAGAGCTCTGCCTGTTACCGACAGACCTCGTCCTGTTCGGTGGGTTCACTCCACATCTCAGCTCAGACAGAGACGTACTTTACTCATCCCTTCATGTGTCCATCAGCTCATTGTTACATCAGATGGTTATGATGGAATATTTAGAAAAATCCTCAAATCATGTTAAAGTTATAACAAAAAAATAGTTTGGTTTATTTATTTATTTTTTTGCTTTATTTTACCTGAATTATTTCATTTATTTATTCTTTTAGTTTGTTTTTTTTATAAGAACTTTCTAACTCTAACTCTCTGGGAGACGGAAGAATTGATTGTTGATCAGCGGTAAATGGTTCAATACAAATATCCGATTATTACTGATGGGTGAGATCAAACACGTTAATGAACTCAGCTGGCTACGGTGACTAAAGAGTGTCTATATTTTATATTTATTTACCTACAATTATTTTCAAATGGACCAATCAGAGATGGACACTCTTCAGTCACACAGAAGGTGAGTGGCGTCAGTTTGATTCTTCAGTTCAGTATCAGACAGAATGAGAAAATGTTTCCTGCTGTCGTTCATAGATAAAGATGCACTTTTGTTTTAATTGAAATGTTCTTTGTGTTTTTTTTTATTTCTTATCTTTGTGGTTTTTTCAGTTGCTGCGTCTGAATCCAGAATGAGCAGCTGAGGCTCTGAAATAAGGTGCGTCTTTAAAGGTAAAGGTATCTCAACATTTTTAATGTTGTAATGTGTTTTTTTTTTTTTACTTGTAAATAATGTTCGACATCAACATCCAAATTAAAGTCTGGAATTGGGTTTGTAATTTTCAATATGTCCGCCTCATCCGACGTGTAATAATTCAACATCTCTACATCAGTCACGTCTGTTATTCGAAATAATTAACTGCTGATATAAACTCGTGCAATAATTTAACACACCATCTGCTATTTTTTGTTTTTTATGTTTAAATATCTAAATGCACATATTTAATTAATTAATTTATTTATTTGAAGTATTTGGTTTTGACATTTTGCAGTTTTTCTTTTGTTTGTACTGTTCACTTTGCTGCTGCAGCACTGCAGATTTCCCCACTGTGGCACTAAAACAAGGAAAATGTTTTTGTTGTATTAACTCTTCATTTCTAACACAGTTTAAGATTGTGTTCAGGGAAAAGAAAAGAAAAGAAAAGAAGTTCCTTTATTGATCCCCGTAGAGGAAATTGAAGTTTGACATAGCAGCACAAAAGAGCAGCAGCAACAAGTGGAAAATGTAATAAGAAATAAAATAAGAATAGAAACAGAATCTAGAATTAGTAAAATCAAATAGAGAAACTATATACAATATAAAAATGAATGATTAAGAGTCACTGTTTCATTTATTTAATGGAAGAAAAGTGGGAAACTCTTTCCTTCTCTCTTTTTTTAATCAAACAAACGTGTCATTGAGTAAGAGATGAGGGGAATATGTTCCAATAACGAGATCTTCTCGGTTCATTATCCAGGACCTCCAGTCTAATTAAGTCTAGTTTCTTTTGCAGATCTGTCCACGCCCAGCTGATCACCCGACCTGAGGACTGCTGACCAATCGGACCAAACCAGCCATCAATACTGAAGGATTTATGACAGGAGCGGTCAAAGGATGGAGGTATTTCTGGAGCTCATTGGCCTGGTTGGAGCTCCGAGTTTCTCATGGCCATAAAGAGGAACCTCCAAACCCCCGTCCAAGCCCATATATACCCCCCAAAAGATCTGAGGCTTTAGTCTGTGACTCCCTCAGTGTCTCCCAGTCCTTCAGTCAGTCTCTGCTGCCCTCCTCATCGTCACTTTGTAGGTGAGAAACTTGTTTTACTTTGTGGATTTAGTGGCTAAAAGGGAAGATGATGCTCAGTAACAAATGTGGTGATGGATTTGTACCAGAGTGTTTTCACTGTCAGTATCTGACACTGTGCAGTTAGAAGAATTAAAACTTATTTTCTGTTTATGTTCAAGTGATAATCATGTATTTACAAACGTATTGACGGGGCTCATTTGGAAGTTAAGAAAATATATTACAGGATATTTTCAGTTTACAAAAACACACCCAAACGTTTTGAATATTTTGCTTCAGTTAAAGTTTTTAATATTAATCAAATACTTTAAGGACCTTTTGTTGTGATTACAGTAGTTTACAGAATTTAAGATTTCCAAACTTCTCCAAACTGTGGTAACAAGAAACTTTGTAAGAATTTGCATTGGGTGTGAAAATCTTAAATTCCAGGAACAAGGTAAGATTTTTCTTCGAGATGTCTTTTTAAAAAAATGTCTAAATCACTTGGTTTTTGTGAAGCTCCTGAACGCGTTACGGACGCTTTCTTATTTCTTTCTGTCTGACTTATAGAATCAGAAGCTTTTGGATTTGTACTAAATCTCCAGTACGTTTTCTGTGTCATTTAACTGCCGGTGTATCCGATTTCCTCCGAGTGGAAAATAACCCAAATATCCGATTACTGCTGACGGGTGAGGCCAGACCCAGACCTGTGAGGTCACAGAGAAAGCTGTGATGTAATCACCGATGATGCAAGCAGCAGCAGCAGCAGCATCTTTTAAACTGAAACACATTTGAGATGAGGGTCAGAGAACGAACAGAAGCAAGAGTGAAAAATTAAAATTTAAAATGAATCAAAATATTAGTTTATAAAGTTTTAGAAAGTTTGGTTTGAAAACAATGGAGTTTATTTTATTTTATATCTTTACATACCTGGATATCGGCACTTACTCTCCTGTCAGATGAAATATAATATTATTTCCATGTTACTGCTCATGAAGAGCTCATCGTGAAAGTCATTGTTGACCTTTGACCCTGAACTACGATCAGAAATAAACTGATTGTCTCAGGATTCAAGGATCCTGATTCAAAATTCATATTTGAAATTTTTAATTACAAAATATTAAAAAAAAAAATTACAATAATTACATTAATAATATATTAAATTTAAATTTAAGTTTTAACACAAAGTGAAAAAATGTTTAAGGGTTAGTTTGAAATACTATAATATATATTTCTTCATTTTGTATTTACTGACGTTTAAATCACTTTATTTTTGGATGTTCTAAAAAAGCGTAACTAGCAAATGTTAGTAAAATAAATCAGCTATATAAAGAATAAAAATAAAAATGTTATACATGTAATTTACTATAATACATTGTACATTAGTGCAAGGTATTTTTATTTGACAAATAACCAATAGGATCAATCACTGACCAGAAACCACTAATCAATTTATCAGCAAATCATTTCAGGTCGTTAAAAATATGAAAGTGCTGACGTGACCTTTTTGCTGAAATGGAGCTAAAAACAAAACAGGTGCAGTTTTCCTCCTGTCAATCAAAGAGACAGGTTTGTGACTGAAGGGTCAAAGGTCAAAGGTCAGAGTTGTGATTGTGATGTAAGCTGATGTCGTGTGTCGCAAACTGAACAAGCTCCTCGTTCGGTGTCAAACTAAATCACTTGAACAAGAGTTTGTAATTTAATTAACGAATTGTGTTTGAATTTTTATGAAATTGGAATAATGAATTAATTAATTTAATCTTGTTTTAATTGATTTCAAATGTAACTTTTGTTTATTTAATACTGTGTTTTAGCTTGAGACGTTTGGGACGTTTGGCTCTTTTGTTCAATGAAAAGTAAAATGTTTATAGAAAAACAAGCCACCTCATTAATTACAGAAAAACATCTGATATTCATATTTTTCCTAATTGTCTTTGTGTTTTTCCTGATTATTGACAGTCTGAAACCAAAGAGAAGCCAAGATGTCTGAGTAAGTATGAGTCTGTCAGTTCTTTAAACCACTGACTGTTTTAGCCAGTTTGCTTTTGAACTGAGGCTGAAACAAGTTGATTAATTGATTAGTTGATCAACAGAAAAATAATCTGTCACTGTTTTGTATATGAGTAATCGTAAACTGAATACCGTCTGGCTTTAGACCTGCATCCTGCAAAGCTGTGATTGGCGTTTATTAGTGTTTAATATTTGAGTATTTTCTTGACCAGATGATTAATCAAAAATGTATTTGCATATTAATCGATAATGAGAATAATAATTAGAACTGTGTTGTTATGTTATATGTTATAAATGCTTTTATTAACGTCATGTTTTCATGAATCACAGGGGAAAGAAGATGACATCGAGCCGCAGGCATCATCTCAAGGTAAGGGAGAGTCTTGTTGCTTTGTCTGCTGGATGTAAACATATGCTACTGTATGCTAACCAGTTAGCTAAAACATGCTAATATGTCAGAGCTGTGTGTCTTCCTCCTTGTTTTACTGGCCAGAAAAAAATCAGTGACTGCAGCTTTAAGAAAAGTAATAATTAAACTAAAAATAAATGAAACTGAACATAATAACTTGTGAGTCTCTGTGTCTTCGTCCTGCAGAGTTTGATGCTGCAGATCGCCGCCACCTGGCTGGAGCAGGAAGCTACCGATATCGCCGCCGCCAAAGAAGCTTACTTGGCAGAGAATTGCGCCGAACCCGACCTGAGCGGAGACCAGGCGGCTCTGATGGTAAAAACCCTGTGAACACACACACACACGAGCACACACACACACACACACGAGCACACACACACACATACACACACACACAACTTTTCTCTTTTCATATCGACAGGAAATCTGCAAGAAGCTGCACCAGGCCCTCGACAAGATCGATGAGGACAGATACGACGCCGAGGCCAAAGTGGCAAAGACAGACAAAGAGGTAGAGACGACTCGCTGTTACAGATGCTTTAATGTGGCGGGGGGTTGGGGGGAAGTAGGTCCGAGTGAATCCATTTGACATTTGAAGGTTATTCTGATCGTTTCTTTTCCGTAACCATAGTTTGAGTTTGTCATGTCTCATATTACCGGTGACATATCGTATCGAAACACTCAAACCGATCTCCAAAACAAATCTCCAGATATCAATATCCAAAACATCTGTCATGAGTCGTGATTCGGTCAGACCCTAAACTCACAGACACGAGAACGCCTCTTCAAATAAAACCTCCATGAATCTGCTTAGAAACCAGAGAAGAAGAAGCTCCTCAGTCAGTGATCCAGTGACAGTTACATGACAAACAGGAAGTTAAAATAGATCATTCACTACATTTCACTTTCTTTTCTGTTATCAGAAGCGTTTCTGTCACCGCATGTCGTCTACAGCTGATCTGATGTAAACAAACGAACTTGAAGCTAATTAGTTAGCGTTGAAACGGAGGAAAGTCGAGGCAGTTTGAGATAAAAAACCGTCCATCTGCCGCTGGTCCGTCTTCGGTATTGATCCTCTGTTTGCGTCTTCAGATCGAGGACCTGAAGCTGAGGGTGGTGGAGCTGGCCGGAGTGAAGAAACCCGCCCTGAAGAAGGTCCGTATGTCCGCTGACGCCATGCTGCAGGCTCTGCTGGGCGGCAAACACAAGGTGACCATGGACCTGAGGTCCAACCTGAAGCAGGTCAAGAAGGAGGTCAAGGAGGAGGTGAGTGTTGGCAGGACGACAGTCGGGACAGGTAATAAGAGTGTGGTTGGTTACACCTGTGGACACCTGTTGACTGGGAACTGTTTGTGTCCTGCAGCCTGGAGAGGCCGTCGGCGACTGGCGTAAGAACATTGAGGACAAGGCCGACAGGAAGAAGATGTTCGAGACCTCTTAAAGACTTTCAAATTCAAACCCCCCCCTTCCACTTCCTGTGGGCTGCCACATCTCTTCCCTCTGTTACACATGACCTTTTTCATGGAATTGGAAAAACACGTGCTATTAAATGTTTTGTTTTTGGAATAAGGCAATGCTGTGATTCTGCTTTTTCTTTTTCTACTACAGACGATGTTTGGAAGTTTAGAGGTAAAAGGTCGATTCGCTTGGTTCTTCGTATTCTCTCACTTCCTGTAAAGCAGACAGATGTCGGCGTTGATCTGAACCTCAGACAAAAAAAGTGGTATATAGAATTAGAGACTCCGAAGCAGGAGCTGTTTGCATGTAGACAAACCTCTTAATGTTGAGTGTTTCTCTGCTGGTTGAGCGAGTGCTGTGCTCGCACTGAGCCACCAGATGTCAGCAGAGAGCCTTCCTCTCCCGCTGGTCTCTGCTGCTGCTTCTCAGTCCTGCACAAAATCTCTCCTTCGTTTCAGCTGTGAATCGTTGCTTCTAACTTTTACATTCAGTCACATTTCTTTGGTTCAACTCTTCATCAAGTTTGGAGATTATCAGCAACAAGCTGCAGCGACATGAAGATCTACAGACGGTGAGTAACGATTTCCTCTTCTCTCTGTCTGTCTGTCTGTCTGTCTGTCTGTCTGTCTGTCTCTCTGTCTGTCTGTCTGTCTGTCTGTCTATCCGTCTGTCTGTCTGTCTATCTATCTATCGTTCTATCTATCTATCTATCTATCTATCTATCTATCGCTCTATCGTTCTATCTATCTATCTATCCATCTATCGTTCTATCTATCTATCGTTCTATCTATCTATCTATCTATCTATCTATCTATCTATCTATCTATCTATCTATCTATCTATCTATCGTTCTATCGTTCTATCTATCTATCGTTCTATCTATCTATCTATCCATCTATCTATCTATCTATCTATCTATCTATCTATCTATCTATCTATCTATCTATCGTTCTATCTATCTATCGTTCTATCTATCTATCTATCCATCCATCTATCTATCTATCTATCTATCTTTCTGTCTATCTATCTGTCTATCTATCCATCTATCTATCGATCTATCTATCTATCTATCTATCGATCGCTCTGATTGGCTGCTGACCTGTTGGCCTGAGAGAGGAGATGTGAAACACTCAGATGGTTTTTGGTTCTTAAAACCACAAACACAAAAACCACTTGAAATAAAAGAGAGAAGAAGAAGAAAATCTGGAGCTTTAAATAAGTTGTTGTGATGAACATGTTAATTGTGCGTGGG